ATCTAGTTCAATTATTCCAAAAATGTCTTTAATGGAATTTTTCTTTCAGAATACAGTCCAGTCCAAGATCACTTATTCTATTTATTTGCCATCTCTTTTTAGTCTTCTTTTATCGGGAACCCTTCTTCAGCCCTTCTTTGTCTGATGTTGTTATTCTTCAAGGATACAGGCAGTTGGTTTTTTTTTTAAAGATTTTATTTATTTATTAGAGAAATCACGCGTGCATAAGCATGGGGGAGAGGGAGAAGCAGGCTCCCCACTCAGCCGGGAGCCCGACGTGGGGCTCCATCTGAGGACCTGGGATCATGACCTGAGCCAAAGACAGATGCTTAACCAGCTGAGCCACCCAGGTGCCCCTACAGGCAGTTATTTTATAAAAAATTCCTTAATTTGAGTTTGTCTGATATTTCCTCATGATTAGATTCAGATTATACTATATACATCCCTGGCTGGAAAACAACATAAATTAATACCTTCTTTAGGTATTGCATCCACAGGTTAATATCACTTTAAAATCGTACAAAATTGTTGTCAGGCAAAGTTAACAGTCCCAAGCATTAAAGAAAAATTACCATTTACCATAAGGCTACTATGTGTTCTTTATATGTATTTAATATATCAGTGTCTCCATGTATTTTGTAAATGAGGATTTTTTTCTTTGCACTGTAACATTATTGTTATCTAGTTGATTATTAAATACCTGCAGGAGATATGTTTTAAGTTCTGTTGATTTATGTTCTAAATGGTTGTTTAGTAGAAATTACATTTTGTTTGATTGCTTTTTAAGTAAACTGTATTTTTGTATGTGTGGTGTCCTCTTTTTGTGCTAATGAAATACAGACTGTGGATAATGGACCGCCATGAACCTAATACCCAAAGAAGTCTGACAGACATGATCTGCAGGGTTTCTCATTTATTGTGAATTCATGTTTCTCACTTCTAGCTATGCAAGAAGAGGCCTTGAAGCTGGTATTGCTAGCATTAGAAGATGGCTCTGCTCTCTCAAGGAAAGTACTGGTACTTTTTGTTGTGCAAAGACTAGAACCAAGATTTCCTCAGGCATCAAAAACAAGTATTGGTCATGTTGTGCAACTACTGTATCGAGCTTCATGTTTTAAGGTAAGTAGCAAGCAGCCATCTAGACATTACATGCCTTTGTATGAGATAGAGGCTTTCTAGAATGGATGTTACCTGGTCTAGAGGCTCCAGGAATGCAGAATGCTTCTAAGAGTTGAAAGGAAACTTTGTTTTCCTTCTGCATTGTTTGCATCTGTGATACTACCTGTTGAGAATAAACATGTGAAGGTGTCAGTAACAGAAAACAGAGCATAAGGAAATAGTTTGGTAAACTTGACTCTTGGGATAATGAATGTAGACTAAAGAAGTCTAATTCAAATGAATTTCCCATCTTAAAAGGGAAAATTATATAAAAGAACGTAAGAAGTTGGTTTTTCAATTTCCCATTGTTATTTTTATTTTATTCCCTGTTGTGATTAGATTATGACCTTTAATCTGAAGATGGCCTATAATGTTGCCTTCAGGACAAGAGAATGAAGAGTTGAGGTACTTGCCCCACTCTGCATTTAGGAGGTGTGATTTTTTGTGTGTGTTTTGTTTTGGTGGAGAAGACAGAAAAACCCCAAGATACTTAGAAATGTGGTTGCATTGTCTTATAGACCTGTGCGTGGTTACAGGTACTGAGAGAGGTGGAAAGTAGGCTGAATCCTTAAAAGTTTCTGCATGTTACAAGAGTAGGGACTGCTGGCTGGATCTTGAGAAAAGCCCAGATACTTGGAACTAGGAAAGTCCATTGGCTTCTATAAAAGTAAAACATCAAAATTTGAAAGCCAAAGCTATTTTGCTGGGTTTATAGCCCAATAGTGAAAACAGTACAGACAGAAAAAAATTTTTCGGCAGACTGCTTAGTTTGAAATAACAGGTAATTGCTGATGGAAATATGTTCAAATGAACTCACTTATCTCCACTAATGAGGTTTGGACACTATCTCCTTGATAGTTATAGTGCTTGATTTTGTGCCCTTAAGGGCAAAAATAGAAATGAATCCCTGGTTCCTCAAACATTATGTTTTTGGCTAAGCAACCAAATTACAGAGATCATTTATCATCCTCAGGTGACTGACTAGGTTCTCACACTGTATTCCTGATTTAATGTGTTTTTTCTCTCATAGGAATCGTACTGATTTGTGGTTTATGATAGTCATCTACAGTTGTTTCTAACATCTGACATTTGAATAACACTAGTATAGAAAGTGATTTCAATTTTATGCTCTCATTTCATCCTCACTGCACTATAGTTTAAAATGTTAAAGCAGGGCGCCTGGGTGGCTCAGTCGTTAAGCGTCTGCCTTCGGCTCAGGTCATGATCCCACGATCCTGGGATCGAGCCCTGCATCGGGCTCCCTGCTCCATGGGAGCCTGCTTCTCCCTCTGCTTCTCTCTCTCTCTCTCTCTGTCTCTCATGAATAAATAAATAAAATCTTTAAAAAAAAATTAATAAATAAAATGTTAAAGCAGTGTTTAGATTAATAAAAGATAACGTACTGACTTAACTGCCAAAAGGCCTCTCTTGGGTGTCATTTACTCTAGTAAAATCACAATTGTCAAAGGTCTTTCCTTGATTTTATAGGCTTAGAGATGTGAATTTTTGTGGGTGCATACAGTAGATTCTTTCTTCAGGAATAGAACACCCTTACCAAGGTCACCACAATGGATGATCTATTTTATTAATTTGTAATGAGAAGTGCAATTCTTACATGACTTAAATCATCATATTGTAGATATTTTCCTGCCGAAGATATCAGACCTTTGCTTGAGTAGCCTGGCTTCAGCGCAAGGGAGTTAATCATTCCAACATTTGATGCAGTGATTCCCAACTAACGATCTGCATCAGAATTATTTATGGGTTTTTTAAAAGTATACAATCCTGGGTCCCATCCCCGGATATATTCTGATTTGGTGTATCTGATGTGGGACTTGAGCATTCATACATACTTTTTAAATCGTGTGGTCTTCAAAGCCAGGAATTGTGATTACCTGAAATTGTAGTTTTTAATGCTTCACGGGTGATTTTGATGCATGGTAGTGAGAACTTTAATATGACCATGCTCTGTTAGCCACCTGTGTATGTCTTTACTACTCAGGTGAATAGATGCTTATGCTGCCTATGAGGCACCCTTGTAGCCTACGTGGTAGTTGGGTGATGCTACCGTTATCTGGTTCTTGGGTTTCTCTTTTCTGTTTTTTAGGTTGTTAATTCTTTCGTTTCCTCAGTGTTTCTTTAAATAGGTTAAAGTAGAATATAGATTTTGGGGACTTCTAAGTTACTCTGCTCCCAAATTATACCTAAGATTATGTTTAGAATTTTGGATGTCCCACACTTTTCTCTAATGTAATTACATTATTCCAAAAGAGATTTTGAACTGATACTATTAATTCTCAGATGGTAACTTGATTTTCCCATCTTCATATTCTTGGGGTCATATTATTGTTGTTCATGTGCCAACAATAGAAAGAACCAGTGAGGTGGTTTGGAGATATTTTCATTTTGCCAATGAGAAAATCATGATTTTGAACAGTTTGAATGATTTGTTCATTCTGAATTATAGAATCTGTACTAGTCCTAGGTATTCTGAATCCTAGCCAAGTTTCAAATTTCACTGTGCAAGTTTTAGATAAATGATATCTATTGTGGAAATTATCTAGTCATACACTTGCATGTTTGGAGAATTAGACAGTTTCAGTAGGGAATGTGAAACTGGAAGCTTTTGAATTTATGTTTTTTAAATGACTTAAGTCAGGTATAAATTAAAGCTGTATAAATACCCTAATGATCATTTTTGTGGTGATAGAAAATTTCTTAATCATCACGTGGCAGTGCTAATATATGTCTACCCATTGGACTGATCTCTCATTCCTAGCTTAAAAGTCCTCAGTGGCTTCCCATTCCCTTCAGCATAATATATAAATTTCTCACCATAGTTTATAAGGCCCTCTATGATTCTTCTCTAGCCTCTTAGTCTTTAATTCTATGTGCTCTGCTCTTTCATTTTTCTATTTCACCACTTGCTACTCTTGTTAGGATTCTGTTTCTTACCTGGAAACGCCTATTCATTCTTCAAGACTCAGTTCATGCAGCCTTCAAGATGGGGAAGCCTCCTCTGTTATCCCTTCCTTCTCCCCCAAGTCAGATTTAATTGCCTTTCCTTTATGTTGCCATGGAGCATTATAAGAGCATGTATACTATAATTTTTTGTTTACAAGTGTCTTCTCTATCAGCTGCTGAGTTCATTGAAAGAAGGAAAAACTATGTACTGGGTTATGTAAGGTCTGCTTTGTTCCAAAAAGAATTTGTGATAAGGACATTCTCCTCTTTGCACCTTCTTTTGTCTGGTGTCTGATATCTGTACTCTCCCCCACCAAAAGAATTGATTGGAGAAGGAGGGAGAGCAGACCAATTCTGATAGGGTTTTTTTTTCTCCTTTCTATTTCTTAGGTTACCAAAAGGGATGAAGATTCTTCTCTGATGCAGCTAAAGGAGGAATTTCGGAGTTATGAAGCATTACGCAGAGAACATGATGCCCAAATTGTTCATATTGCTATGGAAGCAGGACTCCGCATTTCACCTGAGCAGTGGTCTTCACTTCTGTATGGTGACTTGGCACATAAATCACACATGCAGTCTATCATTGATAAGGTTTGTGAAATTAGTGATGTTTGTTTTATATCATTGCTGTTACTTAGAAGAGCATTGCAATCTTCTAAAGGAACTAAAGAGACAACTAGTTGGAGATTCCTGTGTTTTAAGTATCAGACTGTGTATTATTTTATCTTTATTTCTTTTTATTATTTTTCTAACTTTCAAAATAAACGACGGGAGGCAATAGGGAAGCACATATAGGATAGTAGCATAAAAGCAGCCTGGCTTTCAGAGTCTGTTGTTTATCTGTGTTTTGACCCCAGAGAGCTAATATAGCTTATAATAAGTAAGTTTTCTAAGTGTCTAATGATGAATTTCATAGGGCAGATTCTGAGGTGAAAATTTCATTCATCATTGATAACTCCTACTATGGAATCTGAAGGCACTTGAAAACCTGTTTAGTATGTTGACTAAATGAAGCATTTGAATATAGATGTGTCATAAGAAGCAGAGTAAAAGCCATTCTCTTGTCTGTTTTGTTAGCTGCAGTCTCCAGAATCATTTGCAAAGAGTGTCCAGGAATTGACAATTGTTTTGCAACGAACGGGTGACCCAGCTAACTTAAATAGACTGAGGCCTCATTTAGAGCTTCTTGCAAACATAGACCCTAATCCAGGTATGTGAAAAAATATTCAGTTGCTTATACTTTTTCTGCCCTTGAGGTAAATAACACAAGAGAATTACTGCTAACAAATTTTTCCCCCCATCCCCTTGACGGCTTATTTTAGATGCTGTTTCACCAACTTGGGAGCAGCTAGAAAATGCAATGGTAGCTGTTAAAACAGTGGTTCATGGCCTTGTGGACTTCATACAAAATTATAGTAGGAAAGGCCATGAGACACCTCAGGTAAGCACATTCATTGCACTTCTGACTGCTGTTACCTCTAACAGAGCTTCATCCTGAACATCTTGAACAAGCTTTTCGGTTAATGGACTTCTTACGTGACTCTGCTCTTTTAGGTTTCTATTATCTCTGTTCTTTTGAGAGAAACTCAAGTTTTAGTATACCTGATAATTCATAGCATGGCACAACCATGGGGAGAGTATTTTTTTTTTTTTTAAGATTTTATTTATTTATTTGACAGAGACACAGCGAGAGAGGGAGCACAAGCAGGGGGAGTGGGAGAGGGAGAAGCAGGCTTCTGCTGAGCAGGGAGCCTGATGCAGGGCTCAACCCCAGGACCCTGGGATCATGACCTGAGCCGAAGGCAGACACTTAACGACTAAGCCACCCAGGCGCCCCCATTGGGAGAATATTTTGAATATGAGTTCACTGTCAATGTTTTGACCAAGTACAGCTCAATGATTCCTTCCAGATATTTTGTCTAATTCTTTTCTAATGTAGGGAAATCATCACTTTTTTCTCCATTGCTCTCATACAAATGAATATCTGTTTGTAAATGTGTGGAGTTAGAATTTTTAAAATATTTGCAATGTACTTTAGAAGGAGTTGCTTAAGGCATAATCTTTTATTCTAATAATTATGCCCACTTATTACGTCACTGTGAGCCAAGTTCTTATGTTCAGTATTTTATTTATATAATTTCTAATCCTCACAGCCACCTGCAAGATAATTGCTGTTCCCAAGCTAAAGTTTAAAGAGGTTAAATAACAAATCTAAGGTCCTGGTGACAGTAAGTGACAGAGCTGGGATCAAATCTACTCCAAAGTGATCTTTGCACTCTTTTACCCTTATTCTATTAGAAAACATTATAATATTCAAACATTAACTGACAGATAAATGTTTCATCTTTATTAAGGTCACAGAAATTACAATGCCATCTTAAATTTTGATGCAGTTATAGCTGTTATGATGAGGCTTTTATATTTTGCCTCATTGTTTTTATGAACTTAAACAGCTCTAAGCCTAAGAAGAGAGCTGTACCCTCAAGCTGACAAATAAATTAGTTTCATAAATTTTCACTTTCAGGGGAAATTATATTCTACCTCTCCTGGGAGAGTTTTAAGTGGACAAAGCTTATGCCTTTTTAAGTGCTTTTTAAATCATTTGTTTTGGTATCATTTTAAGACAGCAATGAATTGAGGAGAAAATCTTGTATTTTTGTGGGCATTATGTTGCCTGACAAATAAATAGACATAACATTTGAACCAGTTTCAGATAATCCTCAGAAGGAATATTTAAAATGGCAGTTCAGAGTTACCCTGTGTAATGCCTAATGGGAAATGGTGGAATGGCAGTTGCTTCAGCACAAGAATTACTTCTCTAACATGAAAAAGAATTAAAGTGGTAAATCATAAAATTCTGAAATCCCAAGAGTCCTCACTTTTCCACACACCAATTTTCTTTTTTGTAGCCTCAGCCAAACAGCAAATACAAGACTAGCATGTGCCGAGATCTGCGTCAGCAAGGAGGGTGTCCCCGAGGAACAAATTGTACTTTTGCCCATTCTCAGGAAGAGCTTGAAAAGTAAGTTATGAAAATTCTTTTTCATATGGGTTTAATTTGGGGTCATTATGAAAGTGTCCTGTGTAGTCTCAAAGTTTATGGTGGGTTTTGCAGATGTGATTAAGTTCACATTGTAGAGTTCCTTAGATTGCAAGATAATCTTTTCTTTTGAAACTATACCTTCTCACTTCTGGGAGCAAGATTAACATGATAAGTGATTTAGAAGCTTATTCAAGGGTCATACTTTAAAGCATTGTATAGCTGGAATCCATGTTTTTGTTAAGCACCTGTGCAGAACAAAACACCCCTCCGTGCAATCTTATTTGTCAGGTTCAGTTGAAGATAACGGCAAAGTCCCAGGTAAAACAGTACAGCAGATACATTTTCTTTTTATGGCTTTTGGTCTTTTTAGCATAGGTATTGTCCAAGTTTCTGTTTTTTGTTTTTTGGGGTTTATTTCTTTATTTGAGTGAGAGCGAGAGAGAGAGCTTGAGCGGGGGAGAGGGGCAAAGGAGAAGGAGAGGAAGAAGCAGTAGTTGTCCCATCCCCCTCCCTCCGAGCAGGGAGCCCAGAACCCTGAGATCATGGTCTAAGCCGAAGGCAGACACTTAACCAACTGAGCCACTCAGGTGCCTCTGTTGCCAAAAAATTGATTCCAGCCTTTCTATTGAAGCAACCTGTGTATCAACTCTTAGTGGACATCTCCCTTTTGTTTTTAGACACTTGAAGCTCAAGTTGAGCTAATTTTCTCCTCCCATACATCCTCTCCCACCTTTCATTCTGCTCTCCCCCAGTGTACTGTTCAGCCAGTTACACATGCCATGTTAAAGGCACCATCTTTGTCACCTTTCATCTGCTTGTCTTACTTAGTCAACAAGTCAGTTCAGCTTCCTGCCTGTATGTTTCTCAATTCTTCTTTCCATCCTTATAGTCCAAATTATCATCCCCTTTTCTCGATCTGTGATTGCCTTCTAACTAGTCTTCTTACAGCTATTGTTGCCTACCCCAAACCCATCATTCCCCACAAAACAGGGAGAATTTTGTACATTAAGCTCATTGCAGATAATGAGAAACAGGTGGTTTCTCATACCCTGTGGATAAAGTTATAAAATCTAGATTGTGGACCCTGCATCATCTATATGCCTACCTTTCTGATCTCATCTCACAGTGCTCCTGAATATATTTTATACTCAGGCCACGCTTACCTTCTGACAGTGCCTGGAATGCATCATGTTCCTTCCCACCTTAGGTCTTCTACGTCATGTTGTTCCTTGGGGCCTTGCCTTTGGAGCTTTTCTTTTGCCTAGCTTATCCTTCACTTTTTTGGGGGGTCTTCCCAATATTACATACTAAACCAGGTTCCTCTTTATCATGCTTATCAAAATTATGGTTAACTTATGGTAAATTTTATGTCAAGGTCCAGATAGTAAATATTTTCATTTTGGCGGATCATGCAGTGAACTGTCACAACCGCTCAATTCTGCCATTGTAGCAAAAAAGCCACCATAGTGCATAAAACGGGCATAGCTATATACTTCATTTACAACAGACAGGCAATTTTGGCCCACAAGAGGTAGCTTGCTGACCCCTCATCTATTGACTGTCTGCCTTGTTGCTGTGTAAGCTCAATGGACTGTATCTATCTTGTTGATTATGGTCTCCTCTCCTCAGTTGCTGGCACTGGGCCCTGTACGTAATGAGCTCCGCAGCAGCAGCAATATGATAGGTGATATGTGTGTCTGCATTAAAAAGAAGAGTAGAAACATGCTTCTCTTCTCTGTTTTTCCCCCTACTGGAAGAGCCTAGAGAGGTTATAGGAGTCCTAAGACAAAAAGATGCTGTTTGCACCCAGTCTAAGCATCTCTGTATATAGAGTTTTATATTGGGCTGGTTTTTGAGATTCTAGGAGATCTATTGAGCTTGCCCATACCTGAAATAGAGCTTCTTAGTGAAAGTAGAACTTTTTAGGGGACCTTGCTTGGGTGTACTTAGACTTAACAAAGTCAGAGGAGAAACTGTGATTTCATTGCCATTCGACCCATAACTGGTACCCCAGCTGAAGATCCATTTTATCTCTTATGTCTTCAAGCTGGCTTTCTGCTCTCCATCTCCATTACCTACTTCAGAATTTTATTATCTCTTGTCTGAAATTATAATAGTAGTAGTATAAAAATAATAATCATAGCCAAATTAATTGGTCTCATTTGGTGTCAGGTACCATTTTTAGTGTTTCACATGTGTTCACCCAATTTATCAATTTAGTACTCTAATGGCCTTTAACCTGGCATCTCCTTATGTTCAACCTGGCTATTTCATTGCTACCAAGATTTTCTTTTGCAAATAAGCATCTAATCATGTCCATCTTCTGTTTTACATTCTAAATTGGTTCCTCAGTATATCACAGGATCTGGTCCTAATCTAGCTTTCCAGCCTTACTCTACCTTTTGCAGTTTTTATTTTTTTAAGGTACATCTTGTTAATCACTGTTTACTACTACACAAATTCTTTCATTCTTTCCCTTGCACATGTTGTTCCTCTATATCATATGCTTTTCTCTTCTCTATTTGGAGAGCTCCTGTTCCTAGTCATACTCCGATGTCAGCTTCCTTCTGAGGACTTCCCTGACTTCCCAGGCAGTGTTAGTTGCTTCCTTCACTGTGCCGGTGTAGTGCTTTATACTTTGTAACATCCAGTTCTCTTGTCATACTGCAATTATTTATTTGCATGTGTGTATTTTCACTGGACTTCACTTATCCTATGGGTAATTAATCTTGATATTTTCTTCACTTAGCAAGTATCTGTTACGTAAATTCAGTATATTTATGTTGAAAGAGCAAATAATCTATAATTCCTATTTCCAGCCAGCCTCACAGTCTCTGTTGGTGTGTGAAAAAAGAAGAAAAAACAGGGTGATACCAAGGATTAAGGAGGTGGAAGATGTCACTATCCTATTGGCTAAAAAAATACACGTTGCTACCTGTCTCTGAGT